ACCCCGTTTCTCCCTCGCACACCCCTCTTCGTGTTCGGCCGCTGCGGCCCCAGTTAGAACCTCTTAGCGATTTCTTACCGTCCAAACCTAGGTTATAGGTTGAATCGGCTTCTAGCCCGTGACAATATATTAATCATGGCAGATGTGTTCCTATTAACAGTGAATGTAAGTTACCTTCTTTAGACTATTAAATTAGGGTGCTTAGTAGTCCTAAAGCAGAGAACATTATCTTATTACTAAGGAAGGGTACATATAAATCTACCTAGTTTTGTTATTAAGGGGTGTTAATTAATAGTAGTTCTTTTAGATACTACCTAAAGGCTTAAAAGTAACTGCAAAGTAATAAGCAGCTTTAGCTTTAATAATACTAATCTACCCTACCTAGATACCTTCTTATGTGCGCATAACTATAATCTATATAGGTATAAGTTATTATTATTATAGCAGTGCGCGGATGATGGGATATATCATACTAATACTAACCTAGTATCTAAAGTATTAGAGATACCCCTATCTACCTATAAAAGTTCTGGCAGTGCTAGTATAAGTAATAAAGATAATGACAGTCTTATAAGTTATTATATTCTATATAAAGGCAAGGAAGGCTTACTAAATATACCCTAATTAAAGGTCCAGCCCTTATTTAGGTAGGTAGCTAAAATATCCCCTCTATAGCTTAACTATTAAGTAACTTAATATACTATTTTAAGTAGCTTATATATTAAGGTTAATAGCAGCTAATTAAAGCCTTCTAGCTAAAAGAGGCTATTATACACTACTTTAGAGATAGATAAGAAAGTAAGTAGTCCTTAAATAAGGGTATAAGTTAGAGCTAAAGCATCTAAAATATCTAATTTATTACCTACTCCCTATAGTACTTAACCTTATTTAGTAGCTAAAGATAAGGTCCTATAGAAAATTAGTAGTTAGAGAGCTTATATAGGAGGAAATTAAGAAGGAGTTTAGTCTATACTTTACTAAGAGGACTTTATAGTTACTATAAATATATTACTTAAGAAACCTGAATCTTATAGCTTTATTAATAAGATGCTTAAAACATAAAAGGTCTTCTTAGTAGTAAAGCTTATATATTAAATTTTCTATACTAGAATAACTTCTTAGCCATGAAAATAGGGTCCTTATAGGATATTCTAATATATATATAGTAGTAAGTTTAAATAAGTTTTAGGACCTCCCTTAAACTAAGCTGCTTGCATCTTATAAATTCCTATATCTTTTAAATACTAAACTCTTATCTCTATAACCAGCTGCCCCTTTATTCCTAAATAATTTTTATTTTAGGTAAATATTGTTGCGAGCAGGGCCCGCGATATGCTCGTGCTGCCCAGCACTCGCGATATGAAGTAATTTATGGACTAACGGTCCAAGTCACGTGCACAATCGGATATTTCTACCCAGGCCCGCAGACCCCCCTATTCTAGTTCTTCAGCGAGTTCTTATTGTACATACCTAGTCATAGGTTTTCTACGGCCTAGCCTGTAACAAATATTATTTATTACCATAACTTCTTGCTCCTAGGGCTATTAGGGGATTATTTATTTATAAGCTATGGATATCCCTAGTCATCCCTAGGTAATATTATATAGTATATATCTAAACATATCTAAACCTTAAATATCTTAGTAATGGAGCCTCTCTGTTAGTAAAGAGTCTGAGTCTCTATCTTTAGAAGTAGATAATCTTCATTAATATAAGGCTAGAAGCTATGGACTAGCATGCTAATAATTAGATATACCTTGCTTATCTAAAACTTATATGCTATTAAACTTTCTTTTCTGCAGAACCTATCTAGATTAATAGTTTCCCAGGGTTGCTTAGGGATTGGGATTAATTAGTAAGTAATGCTTTATGTCAGTGCATCATCCCTTTCACCCCATAGAATATTCTGGAATATAGTTATTCTAGGCCTCCTATATTCTACTAAGTAGAGTACTAGCACCTTAGTACTGTATTATGATTTCCCTGAAGGTGGTCCTCTCTAAGATGGAGTCCATCATCTAGTCAAAACCTCAGCCAACCCTCAGGTATCCTGCCAGTTCAGCAATCACATCATAAACCTGGTCTTCAACGGCAAGATTCTGGATGATTCTGTCCACCTCTTCTTTTCCAAGGCTCCAAGGTCTGAAAGACAATCGGTGATATTCTTGACCAGTGATGAGGAGCTGGTTAGCCTTGTGTTATGAGGTCCCTGGAGGAAGTCTTTGAGTTCTGAAGAGTCCCTTCGAGACCTGCAACTGTCTGTTGTAAGGTTATGATGTCGCCTCGTGCATCTTTGACCCCGCGAATGTAGTCACTACATATCTTCACAACAATCCTCGTGAGTTGGATGGCAGCGATAACGCTAGCTGCAGATGATAGTCTATCCATTTGAGAGGAGGAAAGAGCAGCCGTTAGGATTTCATTTACAAGAACAGGGAATGATCGCAGAGTGAATAATATAATGAGGTAAAAGCACAAGGGACTGTTCCAAAGGTGGGGAGGGGCAGGTCCTGTTAATGAGGCGAAGGCGATGATTATAGTGGCGCTTCTTATCAATGGGAATGGTTGGCAACAGAGGTAACGTCATCATGTAGAGAAATATCATTGGTCACCTTGGCGCAGCTGTGTCCTCCCCTGTAGACTGGAGAACTGAGAGATCTGATCCCCAGTCTGCACCGCAACTTCGTTCAGCCTTGCGCTTTCATTTGTTTGTCTTAAGAAAGATGAGGAGATTGTTTGTTCGCTTTGTCCACCATATCTTGCAACCGGACTTCACCTGGCTGTGGCTAGCAAGACATGCCATCTCTGAAACTACTCCTCCAGTACCCCGTGTACCAGGCAGAATAGTACGTGTATCCTGCGGCATCCTTCACAAGGCATTATATTATTTTTCGCAATGGTACTGCTCATGGTTCGAACTCCTATTTGACGCCCATGTCGTGCAACTGCCGTTTGGGCTGGTAATGGTATGGACGACCGGACAAGCATAGAGGAGGCTGTCAGTATGCAAATGGCTGAAGCTGCCGGAATCCCTGTCCTGAAATTCTTAAGCTGTGGCGAGCATCCAGATGATCCATTCAACCGGATATTTTCAATCCTGATGACAAGATTGCCCGGTTGTTGTTGTTGTTGTACTCTTAAAGACGACATTATACCCTTGGAGGCTATAAGACAATTTTTTTTAGACCCACCGCTCCTTGTGGTTTACCTCTGGGCCGAGTGAAAGTACATTAAATTCTGGCTTTCACAGAGATGGGCCTTTGAGGAGACGATGTGCTCCCTGGCGGATAGTGGCCTGTGCTTTGCCCTTTTTGAAGGCAATGAGACCGTTGTAACGGGTTTAGCAGGTCCCTGGGCAGCAGGTCGGGACCTGAAGCTAGTGCTTGCTGGCCCGAAGAGTACGCATGCCCGTGACGCAGCAAGGCCAGTAGATAACTTTTTACGATGTATCGACCATTTACCATAGCAAAGTGTTAGTTAAGAGAGTTCAGACACCGAAATGTTTAGATCCTAAAGTGTCCAGATTACCAGGAGGTTTAGACGTCGAAGTGTTCAGACATTAAAGTGTTTAGACACCTCGCGAGTCTGGACACTAAAGTGGCTAGACACCAAGGGTGTTTAGACGCCGAAGTGTTCACACATTAGAGTATTTAGACACCGGGCGATTCGCGGCCTCTTTTCGCCCTTGAGCGGCCGGAAGAGCTGGAATTCCAAATGCTCGTAAAGCAATTGGCCGATAAGGGCTCCTAGTCTTGTCGCGGTGGCACTAGCAAGGATAAGGTGCGCCGCAAGCTATATACGCAGCCGCTCGTAGGCGAATAGCTCCTAGTTGCGAATCCAGTAATAATTTAGGAGCACGGCGAGGTCCCCAACAACATGCCGGCCTTCTCCTTCTTCGAGGTATCCAAAGAGTAGGTAGGAGTAGTAGGCCGGGTTCCACTGCGCGCGTCAGCCATCGTCCAAGGCTCAAACGTGCCACTTATATTGCGAACGTCGCGTAGGACACCCTCGGTCAACTAGCTGCCCGTCGTCTGCGAGTATACCAGCCCGAGGACCTTCCAGGACGTCTTGACGCTTGATTCTTTCTTGATCCTCGACCTGCGGACCCTCCACACCAGATAGGTCTTGAGCATAGAGCCTTTGCACGCGTTCATCGCTTCTGTTGGATTGATATTTCATCTGATTTAATATCTATAGGTCTACGTTTACTCTCCAACTTGTGAAGGGCTGAAGCCAAATTGATTCAATACTGACTAGGCCAACATGCTGTTTACAAAAAGCTTGAAGAAGAGAAGGAGCGAAGCAAGCTAGACGCTGGTAGAAATAGGGGTAGGTAGGCGGTGGCAGAACGGGAGCGTGCGGAAAGGCTATATGGCAAGGCCATTTAGTGAGAAGTAGGTCTAACCCGTGACACAACCCTACATTCGAATTGCCCCTTGGAAAGTATCAAGTATGGTATACAGCCCAATAAGTCGTACGCTGCACTCCATCCCTAGAGTCGCACGGCATTTGGCCCTTCGCACCGACCTTGCCGTCCCAACTGAACTTCTCGATGCTCGAGGTAATTAGATCCGCGGCATCCCTAGAATCGACTTCACACCAGTACACGCCATACGGGCCTTGGCAGGAGAAACCGATGACGCAGGACCCGTAGCTGTCGAAAGGGACCCAGTGATTATTCCCGTAGCCTGCAAATGCATATGCGAGGCGGGAGTCGCGAATTTTCTGGCGCAGCGCCTCACAGTCGGAAACCAACGGCGAGCCGCCTGAGGACTGGTTGATAAAGCTGGCATCTCCGCAATAGCCTGTGCCATCAGAAGCTGCAGTGTCCACCAAGCGGGGGATGTCATCGGCCCTGATGAGACCGAGATATGAGAGAGCAAGCAGAACTGTACTTGACTTGAGAATTGCACGCATATTGAGCCTTTTAGACCTATGAGTAAGTATTTATTATCAAAGTTGAGCAGATAATAGGATCTACTTACTAAAGCTGCGGCTGGATAAATAGGTTTAGTAGCAGAGAATGAGTCAAGATATCAGGAAGAGACTGGACCAGTAAGGACGGTCTGTGTATTGAAGTATGGAAGTGTTACAGAAGGAAGATATCTACAGTAGGGCCTGACCCCTATATATAGACTTCCAGTAGAAGGATCGTATCGTAGCCAAATTGCGTAGGATCCTAAATGACATGCACTATCCCTAGAGCTGAACTGAAAGCATTATTGACATTAGACAGTTCAGGTACCCTAAACCATCTAAAATTTAGGGCCATGTACTCTAAGTTTAGCCTCGGCTACATAGCGCCCTGTTGCAGGGATTGTAGTCCTGATAATCCCGATACAAGAGTTATAGGTAGCTATCGACTTTGTGGGGCAAAAGGAGAACTCCATTCACTCCCACAATTGTTCCCACTTATAAATCCCGATAGTAGCTCTGCTATTAGGTCGGAGCAGGCGTAGCAGAGTCATTTTAAATAAAGTCTAGATATCTACTTATAGAAGGATCTTGTCTACAAAGCTTCCTTCCTCTAATCTTAGATAAATCCTGTAAAGCGAGGACCTGTGAATTACTAGATGTGGTTAGTTTTGCCGTTTCCGGGTTGGCGCCCCAATACGTTGTTACATAACCTCTTCCTCCATAGCCTTGACATATCTTGCACTCATCGCCGCCTTTCTTTCACTCTGGCCCCCACCGACAACTGCGCCTTGGCTTTCAGCCTGACGCACTGCCCCTTTCATTCACCGGAGATGTCGCTCGATCAGACGCCCAGCTCGTTCTCGCTCCAATGGACCTTGCGGAGCCGCTAGGCTACTGCTCTAGGACGCCTAGCAAGGATGCGAGAACAAGCGATGTAACCGTATGGCATGGCCTAGCGTTATGACCAGAGCCCAGGACCCATCGAACAGTATGGGCTAATATCAGAAGAACTGAGGAATAACCAAGTAGAAGCGCACCCTGCGCTTGTAGCATAGAGCCTCTAAAAGCTGGTCAGTTCTTGATAATCTCCAGCACCATCATCTCCTCTGCTTTCTCCTCTTTGTTAGGTACCCATTCTGACGAGATGTTTCATTCTTGGGTTTACTTGGCCCTCTTTGCGACTACCCTTAGATACCGCATTTTTGAGTACACAGGCGAACGCTGCACAGGTGCTGAAGTTGGAATTCACTAGCTTACAGGATCTAGTGCATGTAACAAGCTAAATGAGGGTGTTGTCTTATCGCTTCTCATTAAAATTAACAATGTCCATGATGACTAATACTTAGTTAATGTTTACCCGAATGATAATTGCACCGGCCACGTTGTCGGAACTATTCAGAATATGAATGGCTGCCTTAATAATCTATATGTATCCAGCAACACCGTTGGCAAGTCAGTCCAGGTTATCCCTGTTTCTAAGGAATCCCATACACTAATAAGCAATAGCTTTGAGACCGACTACCTATACAACCTTCCCGCGCAAGATGCAGAGCATATGAAGGTTCCGATCGCCCATGGCCTCTTCCGCACGCAAATCCTTCATGACTCTCTAATCTTGCTCACTGCTCAGTGGGTGACAACCAAATTGTTGATTAATATCTTTCAGCATAACTTAAGAAGAAAATAACTATGGTGCATCTTGCTCTGCTAACTACAGGTAACTATAAACTATATAGTAGGTTGCCTGTTGCCTAGCTGGACAGTCCTTCTATAAGTAGAGGTGCGCTGGATAGTATTTCCTAGTTTATAGCAGTATTATGCCTTATGTAGATTAAGATAATACTTTAACTTTTAATAACCTTAAGAGAAGGCTGCAGGAGGCATAAATAGATCTAGTAAAGGCTATGGGCTGGATATAGTATATATCCCTTTTATATTATTATCTGTAAGAGGAATGGAAACTTATTAAATAGAGGTATAGAGTCCTCTTAATTTAAGTCCTAGGAGCTCTAGGTCTTCTAACACCTACTATTTTATATATACTAGGGTCACCTAGGTCATAAAAAAGAGTACTTAGGTTATTATAGGGCACCTAGAGCTATATATCTATAAGGCTGTTTATTAAATATAAATACTTAAGACCTTCTTAAATTATAATATGGAATTCTTGGACTATAGCTGACCTAACTAGCCATATAATATTATATCTTAATTTCTTTAGCTCTTCTATAGGAATAGTATTAGGTTTAATAACTTTTTACTAGAAATCTATTAGCTAGAGTCCCTTATATAGGCTCCCTACTAAGAGCTTATATAGTGGTTTATATTTAACTATAGTAAGTAAGGTACTCATATTACTATTAACTTAATAAATATAGAATTAGTTAGGTCTAGAGGGTCTTATAGTTAAAAATTAGCTAGTATCTATTCTATTATCTTTATCTAGAGTATTAGTATGATTATTAAATTATACTCTACTACCTAACTAGAACTCCTCTTAAGTATTAGGTATTTTGCATAACTTAATAATAATATTATATATATAGTCTTTAATAGCTAGTTACTTATAGGTCTTAAGATCCTATTTATTACTAATTAGTTAATCACCAGCCATATATAATAAAGACTCTATTAATTATAAAAGCCTAGATAGGTATTAAGTAACAGAGAGAACCTCTATTAAAAAAGGGAATATTATAACTAATTAGAAATACTAGATAATTAGATCTAAGGAATAGAAAGCTAATTATAATAAGCTAGCTTAAGAGGATTATCCTGAGATAGAATAAGCTACTATTAATCATCCTATTAATCTATTTAATAAAGAGTATAGAACTTAGTAGGTAGGTTTTAATCCTAATAAGAAGCAGCCTTATAAGATTCCTAAGACACCTAGTAAGAATTCCCTATAAGATAATAATAAAGCAGACTAATATGCTGCATAACTATAATAGCTAGATAAGAAATAATTAATAGAACTATATAGATACTAATTAAATATATAATATCTTAAAAAAGTGAATTAAGGAGTAAAGAGGTGTGTTTATTGGAATTTAAGATATTAGACTTAGATTAAATCTTAAAAATAATATAGAATACACTATAATAAGTATATAGTATATTATTAAAGATATAAATAATAGAATAATAAGTACTATCATAAACTCTAAAAAG